AACCCGGTAAGTTTAAAATTATTCGAGTTGAACAACAGGAAGACTTCTCTAATGCAAATTTTTAGCTTTTGTAATAAAGTTTATTAAGTGGATGGAAAACAGGTAAAAATAATTAGGAAGATCGTCATCCACGTCAATTCACTTATCAAATACTAATGTAGAAATTAATTTAAGTCTAGATTTTAACTACTATATTACTAGATAGAATTCTAGAGAACATTATCCCAATTTCATTCTTAATGTTATAGCTAGAGTTTGAAGCTTATCAGTGTATATTGGGTAATCAGAAAAGCCCATTGTTTTAATAAGGAAACGTTTAACAACCTGACTAAAAATTTAAAAATCCCATTGAATAATCTGGAAATTATCTCCAACATCTCTTATAAATAAATTATTAGCTCTTACTTAATTAGTCGGTTTAGGAATCTTCTCTATTGATAAAGCTTTCAAAGACTGTCTAAATATTGTCATCTCTTCCTATCTCAAATTGATGCTCTGCTTCTGGTGTTAGCAATCGCCTTGATTTTAACGATCATTCCAGCCCCAGAAGAGTAGGCAAGCAATTAATATCTCATCAACAACTCAGTTACAATTCTGAATTATGGGGTTCGTTATGTTCCTAGTATGGGGTGCGCAATAGACTTACCTCCACGTGGGACACCTCGGGCAACGTATACTTATACGGCAAAAAAGTTCATCAAACCGGCAGTTGACTTCTGACTTCAAACTACCATGATCCCACTGTATGTTTTATTCGATCACCTCCACAGCACTCATCTTACCTTTTCTCTGCCTTTGTGTCTGTCTGTCTCTTTCGCATCTGTGAATCATTACTCCCCCCCCCCCTCTCTCGACATTTTGTCACTTTGATGTTCCCCCCCTCCTCCTATGTGAAGCCTGAAGTCAGCTCCAGGGCTAATGATAACTGCCATTTGATATAACTGCCATTTGATATAAATAAATAAATAAATAAATGCTCCTAGTATACCTCTATTTCAGCAGTGACAATATTCTGTTTTCAAGACCAGGCGTGTTTACCCAATAACCAATAATTTAGTTCACGAGACATGAAGTCCATTAACCAAGTTCTAGTGCACTTAAAAATCGTCAGCGAGTTACCAAGATTTTTTAACATGGATATCCATTTAATATTATCATCTAGCACAGCTTTATAAAACATTTCGCAGCTTTCGGCTAATGCATATTTTCGAAAGAGCAAATAATATTTCAATATTTAACCTGCGATATTATTCCATGAAATTGCATTAAGTAAACCATTTAGTAGTTAAAATGTATACTTTGGAGTACTAAAAACATTTGACAAATCACAAGACTGGAGCTTACAAAACCCGAATAAGTTTCCAATTTTAGCCATCTCTTTCTGACAAACGGATGTGGCAAAACCAGCCACCATGATTAGAAAATGGGTCAGTTAGTGGTGGACATAGTAAGCAAACAAATAACTTCAATTCAGAGGAGGAATTATTGATTTTGAAATTTCGAAATGAAATAATACTCTGATGGTCTTTTAATTCCCCCCCCCCTCCCTTAACCTTTATTATACGTCAGACTTTCCGGCAACCCATTTCTGCTGATTGACACACTAACAAATTGAAAGATCTATTGGTTTATTAGGTTGCAATGATATCTCGTAAGTACAGCTGTCATTCTAATCATATTTCATATTTTAAGGTGTAATGAGGAGAGGCAAGTGGGTAAGAATTATTGAGGCTGAATCTCGCACTACAATTCAAATTGTATATTTAGTTTATATAAATATTGTTTCTGGAATATGAAATTGTCAATAAGATGAACAGCTATTAAAATATATTGCGATTAGGAGAACTCATTGTGAAACACTATCATCCATCCATTTCTACGTACTTTTGTTCTGAAGGCTATATTAGTAAAAATTCGTCTTGCGGACTTGAATGAAAGTACATATTGAGTACCGTGAATTGAAGAGCGTTCGCAAGAGCAAGATCTTCTTTAAAGACTTTGCATTTAGAGTTATTTTGGTAATTGTGCTGAAAATATTCCATCTCGGCAAAGGCAACTCAAGGGTGTCTTTTAAGTAGAAATTAATTGATTAATCAATTAATAAACTTAAATTTCCAAGACCGTTAAGAGGACCCTTCATATAACTTGACTTTGTTAAAGAGGATATATTCTTGTAGCCCTATTAAGCTAATGTCAAATTCTCATAGTCAGATTTTTAACACGAATTAATAAAGGCGTTTGGCCAGCCCCATCAATGGATGTGATATAATGAACTCTGACACGATGGAGATCACGTTGGCCACACTTTTTCACAATTTGACGTTTTTCGTTAATTTGTAACGTTTATTTTTGAAGGTTTTATTTATGGAAGCATATTCTCTTAATCTTTTTGAGCAGCAGACCGTCCAAACTCAATATAAAAGTGAGAAAAAAAATTAGACGAAGGAGTAAAGTAATCATTTGAAATCTGGAAACCTTAAACAGAGTTAACTATAGATGAAGATAAAAGACTGGGACCCTAAATAGATCATTATTAAGTTCCCTAAATCCACTTCAAGTACCGCTATATCTATCCTTTAGCTTTGTTATTTTTTAAATAGTTTACAATTTGGATTTTATCACCGAAGGCCACACTAATGTAATTAGTGTATGTATCAGAAAATTTCAACTTGATATTAAAAAATTTCAAAGAATATGTGGGATAGAGGTGAATTTTCCCAGCTTGATCAATTTCCTCCTAACCAAAGCGTATCGACCCATTTTCTGAAACTTTTCTACCGATTTCATGCAATGATTTGCTTGCTACTGTCGAAGTCACAGAAACCAAATCTTGGCTATTTTTATCCTTTTGAAAAATTTAACATAGCGCGTTTGCGACACCGGCATTTAAACTTCATCTTTGAGCTTTTCCTACATTATTTTCGAATCTTCCATTGAAAGCACTTATTTGCAAACTCTGGCACTTCTTAACTCTCAGTTTTCTCACTCATTAATCACTGTTTTTTCTTTTTAGCCTTGTCCAGATCAAAATTTTACTGAGGGAACATACAGATTAATCAATTTAGACTTGGAAAGAAGCTAAACGCTAAGGTAAGGGCTGTTTGATCGCCGAGCGCGGAGTCACCGGAGCTCAACCTGCACTATAAGTACTTTTAATAGAGTGTATTAAAAAAAATTCTACTTTCGAAGATGCATTTTTAATTTCAGACTAAGGTTGTAACGCTTTAAAATTTACTTTAATGGCAAACAAATTAACACTTTTAGCAGCGACAATAACAAATTCAATTTTTTATTGTAATTGTATGAAGTTACTGAAATCGGTTGGCAGAAGCAAACAAAAGAGTGATCCACAGATGTAGAAGAGACAGAAACAAATATAGAGAAAAAGGTAAGGTGAGTAGTATGAAGGTGTTAGAATATGACATGCTGTATGAGTATACGTTGCCCAGGGTGCACCAACTGAAGTAAGCCTCTCGCACACCCTTAGTTTGTATGGAAAGCACAAAATTATTGGCAAAATCAGGTGATGATAATTTTTTAATATTTAGTTAAGCACCTGACAGTCAGTTTTGTGAATTATTTCATGGCTTAAATATTTCGTTTTATGTAGTGTGCGATAAACTTACCTCCACGTGGTGCACCCTGGACAGCGTATACTCATACGGTAAAAAGTCTATAAACCGGCAGTTGACTTCTGACTTTAAACTACCATGACCTGACTGCAAGTCACATTCGACCACCTCCGCAATACCCCGCTTACCTTTTCCCTGTCTATGTCTTTTTGTCTCTTACATATGTGAATCACTCTCCTGTTCCCATATCGATTTTTTCCTCACCTCTGTGTAGCTCGACCTCAGCTAAGAGACTAATTTTAACTATCAAAACGCATGTCATTTGAAATAAATAAACAAACATTTTGCGGTTGTTAAGCACGGCCCTTAAATCTTGGCAGCAACTACTGTATCTTGGCTTGTTATGGCTCAAAAATCGCTTACTTAGTGTTATTTCTGTAGAAAAATGCGATACCAAAAAATCACTCAGCAATAAATTAACATCGATGTAAAGGAATGAACAGTTATAAATAAATTAATTTCATGTTATTATAGTATATATAATCACTTGATCTATGCGCTATAAAATATTAATAAATGGTTTATCGAAAATTAGTTAGAATATATGAAAAAACTAAATACTGGGTTATCAGCTAATACGATTGCAGAAATATTTATTTATTTCAAATGGCAGGCTTTATGATATTCATCATTAGCCCTTAAACTTTGACTTCAGCCTCCCCCAAGGGTGGGGGGGTACATTTATAGCAGTTAATTAATAGGAGTTCATTAGCCGTCTTCTTGCTTCCCAGTATCTCTGGGTTTCCGTCGTTGTCTTTAGAGCTGGACATCGAATCAGGTGGGTCTTCTCCATTTCCTCCTGTAGGTTACATAGAGGGCATGTGGGTTGAGTGTATACTCCCAATCTGTGAAGGTGTTTTGCCAAGCAATCGTGTCCGGTACGTAGTCTAAACTCAGCAACGGCTTCGATTCTTGGCCAGTCGGGTATGTCGGAGAGTGCCACTGTCCACTGTTTCTCCTTTGTTCGAGCTTTAATTTCGTTGCACCTTGAGGTCTGGAATTCTCTTCTGATTAAGATTACAGAAATATATTTTTATTCAAAACTTAATATCAGATATAAAATATTTATAAAAAAGTACTAATCAACTATGAATTAAATATTAACTCCTTAATTAATTTATCGAGCACCTTTAGAGCATATTGTGTTAATGCAAGACTTAGTTTGGAAGAATGAAAATAATATAGGTTTAATTATATAATATGAGCAAACTTTATTTAAAATAATTTTGTAAATGATATGTTGCAAAATCTTTTAAATCTTGTTTCTTGAATTTTAAGTCATTTGCCTTTTTTTACATTAACTAGATCACTGCTGAGGCAACACGTTTAAAGTTATCTGGGTGTCTTTTACACGTCATATAAGCAAAAATGAAATGGACAATGATGATTGTCGCTACCCTCTTGCTACTCACTCAATCATCGAATGCGATTTATTTCCATATTAAAGAAGGCTCGACGAAATGTTTCATCGAAGATGTCCCTGAGGATACCCTTATATCAGGTATATTTTATCATAATTTAGGATCATTTTTAGTATCGTATGCGATATCGGTATTAGATGGCGATAAATTTGTTCGCAACCCTGATCATGGTGTTCATGTTGAAATAAAGGATCCTGAAGGAAATGTTGTTCTTTCTAGGGTATGTTCATATTTAATTCCGTTAGTTTATCTTTAGGTGTATTCTTCCGAGGGAAAGTTTTTTTACACATCACTGGCACCTGGGGACCACAGCATTTGCCTTTCTACTCGTGGTTCTTCTTGGTCTAAGACACTCCTCGTGTGTATTCTGATTTTCTTACCAATTTAAATTTTAGCGTGTTAGTTTAGACATTGGCATCGGTGGTCATGGTACTGATTACAAAGAGGTCGCATCTAAAGAAAAGCTTAATGATATTGAGCTGCGTATCCGTCAATTGCTCGATCAAGTTGCAATGCTTGCAAAAGACCAAGACTTCCAACGTGTATAGTTTGAGATTAATTTTCTGTTAATTGCTATTTTTGTTGTCTACATTTTCTTTTCTTCTTTCTAGGCAAAAGAAGAATACTTCAGACGTATTAGCGAAAGCATCAACAGCCGAGTTACTTGGTGGTCCATCGTTCAAGTTATTCTTCTTATCCTTACTGGTATTTTTCAAATGCGGAATCTCCGTTCCTTCTTCCTTGCCAAAAAGCTCGTCTAACTTGCTACGTACAATCACCTTTATCTGCTATTATCATGAAATTTTTACAGGAATACAATCTGACATTTGCTTATCTTCTGCAAGCTTATTCTAATTTTACTCGGACCCTTATTTACGCATCCAGGTTTCCTACTTGGGTATTTTGTTATGTGATTATATAAAATAGCGCTCAAAGTTTCAGTAGCACAAATGAAATATGATCTATTTCCTAGTGTGAGTTTTAAAATGCCGATTAATATTAATGAAAACGAGCCTTTTAAGTCTTTCAATGCTCGCGTAGTAATTCTTTGGATATGCCATCTGCACATGTTTCAACCGTTCTTGAACGTTGTCTTTCTGCTTATTTACTAATATGTTTCTCTCAAATTGCATTGTTTAATTCTTTTCAATAAGTGACTGGATAAATGTTACCTCTAACCAGCTTTTCAATGCCGATTCTTTTTCTTGGCTATAATATGGAGGTATTTGATCTTATTTGGCCTGTCAGAGACGGTGAGTTTCTTCAGAAAATTACATGTATATATATATATATATATATATATATATATGTAGACTTATATAGCGTTTAATAATCGGGGGAACGGTCGGTTGGCCAATTTAGTTCACAGATTCGTTGCGAAGAATTGGGTTTTGTTTTCTATTGACTACGAAGAAAATAACACTTCTGATACGTAGTAAAGTCATTTAAGTTGATGAGACCATAATAGGACATTGGTTTTTTTATCGATGGCGTGTCCGGTTAGATTTTGCGATTCCTTAGATTTGTTGAAAGCTAAGTAATGCCGAGAGAATAATGGTTGAACTTTTTGAACAATTCCGACCCCCTAACACTACAGGCTGCACTATTTTCCACAAAGCGCAGCAGGTGTTGTGATTGACACTCACGAATGGACAGTCAGACATTCATCGGACCACAACTGGCAACGGGTAAACTGTGCTTATTGATTGTCATATATCATAGTTACCTAATGTCAAGCATATTTGCAATAGTACGTAAGATCTAAAAATTAATTCAGAGAATCCGTGTACATTTCCTCCATTCGCCACTGAAACAAACTGCTCATGCATTCAGGAGCTACAATGGACGGGGGGACTCCAATCGTGCTTTGTTTTAAATGTTTTACATATCTTTTTTATCTGGACCTAGAATGAACTGACAACTTTGGGCCAGGTGGATTGAGCGCTACGTAATTAATGGCAGTAACTTGTAGTGGTTTTTGCACGAACGAGCAATGATTTATCCTCGGTAATCTCTACGATAAAATCTAGTACGGACTGGCTCCCGATATTTGTTTAGCTACCTCAACGCCATAAGGGAAAGAGACGTATGACGTGCGTGTTCGATAGAGAATTGTTATTAAAATGCATACAAGGGCTTGTTAAACAATACAGCGACCATTGATTAGTGGTTAGTTAGAGATTAAAGCATAACTATAGTTAAAATACTTTGTGTGACTGATTAGGAGCTCACAACCAATATCTCTAAACTCGAAAACACTTCACCTAGAGACGTCGATTGAGTGCGAATAAATACGCACGCTGAAAAACAACATATTTTAAGGCGCCAAAATAGCTGGTAGAGAAGAATTGGAAGTGGTGCGATCAATAGAATACCAAGGGAAAACACAATATAAACCTTAAGCTGCGAGATAGTTGCTTCCTCAAACCTTTGTTCCCCTTAGTGCTTAAGGGCCCAACTTTCTATCTTACTCACTGCTTACATTACCTAATCTATTCAGTGTTCTTGAATAATCTTTGATGCTTATTTAGTATAGCAAGGCTAAAAAGCTTCATAAATTATCATCGGAGGTAAATGCCTGCTATATCATGCCGAAGTTCTTCAGAGCATTTATCATTCTGGTAGGCGTAGGGGTACCTGGTGGCAAGGTTTCGTCCATTTTAAATTAATCTAGTAGGACCAGTCGAGCGGAAAAAGAAATGCACAAGTTTGCAAACCGTCTTTGAGTTAGTATTGATAGATCCACTAATGCTTTCTCATCTACCATTCATCTGTAGAATAGATGACCTCGAGAATATACGCCTACCTTTCAGTTGCGGCCGATCTAGACCGACTTCATGCGTATTATCCAGCCATCTAAAGTAACTAGATGGCAGTGATATTAAAATAAACACAGAGCGTTCTATGTAGTAAAATATAGCGAACAAATCTGAGTTGCGGATAGACTTCTATTTTATTCTGCTATCACACAAGCACACTAGAAATGAGCGAAGTTCACTACGAAAAAATCGTAACGTGGTTTATCTTCATCCCAATAATTTAACTACACATTCCAACACAACAAATCGTGGTCAGGAGAACAGAATTTCATGATGCTTAGAGCGGAAATCTAATTCTACACTATACTACTTCTAGAAAAAGTTGATATAAGCGATCTACACAAAAATAAAACATCTGCACTGTGTTAAAGATGAACTGGCTTTATCGTCCGACTAAGGATTTTCGATTCGTATGGAAAATATTGATTTTACCATTCAGGATGTTATCACTTTTTGACAAAATTAATGCCATTTGAGCATTAATAATGTCGCTAGCAAACAATAAACAGTGAATCAAAGTCCATGAACAAAAACATCTTGAGACAGGTACAAGGGAGCAATCTTCACTTGGAGATCACTGACTAGGCGCTAAGCGTGGTTGTTAAACATAAAAACATGGGTTCCCAGTGGCATAGTGATGAACGACGCAAAAGGTCTTATTGGTCAGGTCTGATCAAGGAGAGGGGTTCAAATGCGAGTTTCTAAGCACCAATGGGGGTGGGGGGTAGTAAAAAAGCAGTGAAAATCCAACACTAAAACACGAAACCGAAAGTTAATGAACTGCAAAACAAAATTAAACCGAACAAAGAAATTCCCACACTCAAAAAAATAAATTTAAACACACCATCCCTCTCACTATTGTCAGACAATTATAATCAATAATAAATGCATAAAGGAACAGGCTTATATACTGTTTAAACAAAATAAAATACTCGATTCCTAGCTTCCAGCAGAATGCATCAGATCATTGAGCTCCCACAGAGCCAGAGTGAGAGTGTTTTTGTAAGAATACAGCTGGGAATCTAATTCGGCAATCTGTTTCAAGAGAACATCTCGTTCAGCTTTCAACTGGATGACATTTTGTGAGTCCTGATGAAATTTCGTAGCGATGACGTTGTCATCCACATACGGAATTATGCTCCCGGGGTTGTCAACAAGTTGAGAACAAAATTGCGAAACGTTCTGAAAAGCCTAGAAAACGATTAACCCTCTTAAGGAAAAACCTTTTTGATGGCATTTCTCCGTTCTTGAAAAGCATCAACTCGCTCTTTGAAATTCTTTGGCAGTTCAGCATTAAGATGTTTGGTGCCCTGGGTATCGCGAACGTTTTCGTAGACGCGATTCAGGGCAAGAGTTAGATCCCTTACGACATTGGTTATTTCCACTATGGCAATCTGACCTTTTTGAGTCTCCGAAACTGGATTCGAGCACTCTGTTCCAATAGGTTTAATATCCTAGAAAACATATGCCGTTTAAAAGACACAAATAGTCGGAACAGTGAAAAGGATGAAAAGAGATGTGTGGTATAGTTACAAGATAAATTTATTTGGGGTTTAGGCCACCACGAGTTGACAGAATATCTACATAATAACCAGAGCGACGGGCAAACATTAACCGCCTTTCGATTTTAGAAGCAGGATCCCAGGCCTCTGATCGACTACGCCAGAGGTCAAGTAATTCTTGAAGTTTCTTTTCTTCCTTCTTTTCGCGTTGTGTTCGTAGTTTGCGAATGAGAGAAGAGTACTTCTTGCGCCATTTCCGACGTTTGTGCTTCTTCATTTTACGACGTCTATTTTGGATATCGTTGACACATTCGTAATCAACTTGAGGCACGGAAGAAGAAGCAATAAAAGAGTAAAGTAGGCCACTAGGAAGTTGCCAGTAATTTGGAATATATTTTGTCTTTTCGTCGAAAGGTAGCATTATATTTTCGTATTTATGAGATGCATAAGGGCTGAGGGATCCGCAATAACTCAAATTGTTATTAAAAAATGAGAACTGATTTTCTGCACCAAGTTTTCCAAAAGGGGACAAGGGCATTTGGTTGCTAGAAATCAAGCTATTTATCAATTTATTGTTGCCGCCAAAACTCTTAAGAGAAAACGCGTCTGACTTTGTCTGGTACCCATAAGACAAGTGAGATTCCTTTGTTGTGGAATGTAAACAATTACGCAGATTTATTGATATATTAAGCACTTGCCGACATCCCCTTAGTTTACCAAAAACCAACATTGCCAGAGAATGTGACAAAAGCTACACCGAACACCCCACTCTTCCCTAGAAAATACAAACGATTATTATAATTCCTTTAAATCGTAACCAAGGTTATTTAACAAAGCAATTAATATTAAACTTAAAGTTCTGTTAATTTTTAATTAAAACTATTTAATGATCGCGTGATCATTGTTTCATATCACTAGTCTATAATTATTCGAAGTACTTCGTACAATATTTGATGTCCGCATTTTATTCAATTTGTTAACCACATTCGACTTTAGCACATAACAAATTTTTCTTTGAAAATGGAATTGTGCTAATATAAGACGTACTAATTCATATCGACTAATTGATCCACATGGTGTTGAGTGCATCACAAGGTATCAAAAAGGACTTTTTGACCTCTCCGATTAAACACTGTTTCTATTAATAATTTCGCATATATTATGGGCATATATACGATATTATTTTGAGTCATTCCAATGAAATAAAATATCCAAAATTTTGGTGTGCATTAATTTGTTTTAAAACATCTACAATATAACTGAAATTTTCCGGAAAATGATTAATTCAACGACCAGTTGCAAAATTTTTGAACTTCCTATTTTACTGATTATGTCGAAATATTAGCCTAGATTGTTGTCACATAGTTTTAACTTAATCAAATTTTCTTGCAAAAAAAATATAAATTATTTGGTTTTTTTCAATGTTGACTATTCATTGAAATAAACTCACAGTAAATAAAATGCTAGAAGTATAGTAACACATAAATCTTTCGCTAATGGATGTAAAATGCATTTAAAAGGCTAAAATCAGTTAGTATAATATTCAAAAAAATGAGACGGTTGACATTTCTCTGGGCAAATGGGAAGGGCCCATTCAACTCTAAGGCACTAGCTCCGTCTACTTTTGCTTTCTCTCGTTGACTCTGAAAAAACACTAAAATGTGAACTATTTATCATGCAGCAATATGAATGAATTCAACGCGAACCTTAATTAAAATTTGAAACAAATTAAAATTAATCAAGGTGAGCACAAAGTTGATTTTCAAAACTTCGTACACTATTTACCAACAAACTCTAACTATTCGAAATGTTTTAACTACACAATTTCAATTAAAAATTCTGAGATTCTCAAATGGATCTTGGTAATAGGATAGGATGACACCTTGATGTTTTTAAGTGAAATTAATCTTAAGAAGTTTCCAAATAAAACGAAGTACGTTTTGCTTTTAAAGATGAATCGATTTGTCAGTTGATCATCAAACCAACGGCTTCTCAACTTGCAACAACATATGTAGTAGATTATCGCTATGACCTCCTCTTTGCTATTGATAAATGAGAACTTGTAAAATGCACACCTTACAATACTTAAGAGCTTTATTTCCCAAATTGCTATAAAATGGAGTTTCAAAGTAATCTTAAACACTGATTAATACTAATTTCATGCTTTCAAGGAAGATTCAGTTATTATTTGAAAAATTAAACTTTAATACACCTTCATTGATTCTTTTTTATTCATCTTATCTATATTTATTCCTTAAACGAAGTGGTAATAAGAGAGAAAAGTGCTTTAGATTTCAGTGTTGTGTAACATGCACACCTAGGCGTGAAAGGCAACTCCCAAAATCAGTATAATTGATTTGTGGAGAATAAAACATCACTGAACCAAAGACCCTCAGCAGATAGAACATTATGGAATTGCCAACGTGCTACTGATAGCGCAACCATGGAATTACGATGGGGAGCTAGTGCGTCGTTAGTGTACTCATCGATCAAAAATCATGGCGTGGTCAACGTGGCCAAAATTGTACTTGATGACTAAGGGATGTGTCAATGACACAACCTAACTAAACTTATCCATGTCATACACCAATTTTCTTTACTTCTTAGCGGCAGCTTAGCTATTTTCTGGAGTTAATCCACACTCGGTGATATTACGATATAGATAACCGAGGTTAAGTCAAGGCCTTATTCGTGTACCAATACACTACAATTTACTAAAACCTCTCATCTACCTCAATAGTTACTTCAGTTTAATCACTCTGATGCTGCCCCAGCTATTTTTAGGACGAAAAAGAAATACGTCCATTTACTAAATAACAAATAAATTCAATCATAATTTTAGTTATGTAGATAATATTTTAATGTTAGGCAAGAGGTCAACGTGTTAATATGGCAACTTCAGCTGTATATTTACTGGATACTTCGAGTACCCTAAGTTTATTTTTTCGGCTGAAGCCTTTTTTCAGGATTGCTCAGCGGAACTGAGTAAATATTAGCTGAGTAATAAGTGAAAGAAAGTCCAAAATGGCAGACTAATCAAGCGCCCTCTACCCTTTCAACTTTGCGGTAAAATTTTATAATTCATTAGTCGCTTCTTATTAAAGCTAAGGCTTCTCAGATTCAAAGAAGAAGAAAAGATAAGACTCCTATTTCAAACGATGGTTTTCCATTATCGAAGTAAATAATTAATTTTGTGATTAGCAGCGACGGCTACTCCAACTGGGGTATTAGTATGAATATTTATTTATTTCAAATGGCAGGCATTTTGATGGTCATCATTAGCCCTTTAGTTGACTTCAGGCTTCACGGAGGGGAAGGAGTATGAGTATACATTGCCCAGGATGCACCACGTGGAGGTAAGACTATCGCACACCCCCCGACTGCGGAATGAGTGTGAATATATGATAGTGAATAGTCTAGTGCATGTGAGGTAAACTTGTGTTCCCATTGAATGTAACGCAAATATGCTAACAAAGTCCATTTCCATGTGAATTATGCTAATCATGATTTTTGATATCCTTGTCCAACGCAAAAATACATGTCAAAACTGAACCCGTTTATTA